TGTTCTTCTTTGAGAGAAGAAAAGTCCAAGGGTACTAACTCCCCTGGCAGACGTTGAGGAAAGAAAACGGGGAATAGAGGGAGCCCTCGGGAAATACGGACCAGATGTGTGCCAAGTTCAATGGCAACGTCGAGAGGGTTTGCTACATCAACACCAGCGACCCCGTAGAACAGAGCCGGGTCAGGAGAGTATTTACCACTCAATTTCCTCACTTTTTCCAGACTGCACTCACAGAAGAAGCAGAGGTGAAGGTGGAAACATAGTCTCACCAACAAGTGCGTTTAGCTTCACGGATACACGGCGAGCAATTGCACGCTTCTGCTTAAAAACAAGAAGTCTCTCAGCGTTCTATTGTACCTGTACCTGCCCCATGCAGCGCATTTCAAACGTACTGCACGAGCACAAGCAGGAGACCACCAAGCACGCACTTCTGAAATGCCTGCCTTTGGTTTGGGGTATAGAAGAGAAGCTGCGGTATAAACTGACGTCGAGAAGATGTGTAGGAGCTCATCAGTGGAGGATGAAGAAGGAACCTCACTAAAACTAGTGAGGTGTGAGTAAAGATCCCAATTTGCCCGATCAAATTGCCAGCGAGGGCTACGGAAAGGTGGTGAAAGGAAGAGAAGTAAGAATGATTGGAAAATGATCGCTGTCATGTAAGTCCGGTAGAACAGACCAGGTGAAGTCTAGGCATGGAGGAAGAGCAGACTGATAAATCGATGCAAGAGAGAGTATGAGTACGGGGATCAAAATGGGTGGGAGTACCCTATTTAAAAAAAATGGAGGGGTGAAGGCGAGAAAAGCCTCCAACTGGATGCCACGCGAGTCACAATGAGACCCCCCCCCCCCCCCCCGGAGGGAAAAGGTGGGCATTAAAAAACCCCAAGTAACAGAAGTGGTGGTGGTAAGGATGAAACAAGAAAGGCAAAGTCTGGGATAGAAAATGCTCGAGAAGGAGAGAGATATAAAGAACATATTGTAAACCACTTATTCAAGTGGATACGGGCTGCAGTGTAATGCAGCGAGGTATGGACAAATAGTTGACAGTACGGAATATCATTGCGTAGAAGAAGGGGACTTTCATTAAAGGTCCCACTGAGAAAGGATCCGAAAATACAATAAATTAAAAGCCTGAGATAGGTTGGAAAACAGCCGAGTGTAATTTGGTTCTTGTAAGCAAGCACCAACAGGGGAAAACCTGGAAAGCAACATCTGAAGCTCACCCCGATTACCCCTGAGGCCGAGGATATTCCACTGTAAATAGGCCATGATTAGCGATGAAGAAAATATCAAGAATCTGTAGGTAAAGGCACCTACGGACTAGAGGGGTTTGAAAAGTCAACGTGTGTTTGGGATTGGAAGACGTTCAAGTAGCGCAGGAACGGAGCGTTTTCGAAGAATGGGTTGTGAAGATGGAGGAGAGGGAAGAGAAGGGAACAGGAAGTGAATCAGTGTCCATTAAAGGTTTAGTCTCTGCAATATATTCTGAAATGGCTTCAAGTGTTTCTGAATTCAAAGATGTATGGGAGACCATATGGAGATAGAAGGAGGGGGTGAGTAAAAATTGGGACAGTAATGGACTGTACCAAAGTAGAGGGGGGGAAGAGTGTAAGGGACTGGAGATGAAGTGTGGGGGGGGGACAGAAGAGGCAGAAGCCTGGGAGGTGGCAGAAGAGGGAGAAACTTGGGAGGTGGAAGAAGGGAAGGAAAGGGCAAAGAAGATTTGAGCAATGTGGATTTTTGGGCTTCTGAGAAGTAGAGGGGCGATTGGTATTAGGTGTCGTACGAGGTCCTTGTCGATACTGGGGCTTGTGAGGAAGGACACGAAGATGTGAGAACAGACTGAGTTGTAGTCGGGATGTCAGAGCCAAGGACAGCAAAAGGATTAGATGCCGGAGTGGCTATGGAAGGGGTAACAACAGAGGAGGCTGCAGAAGAAAGGGGCCCCCCGAAGTAGGGGATGTTTTGGAAACACGAGAATAAGAAACACGGGGTATCTCCCTTGGAGGCGGAGATGATAACTGCCATTTCATAAGGGAGACCTTTCTTTCCTCTTTGAGGCAACGGATTTCACGTTCATTAAGTAGAAACCCGGCAACGGCGGAGTACAAGGGTGAGCTTTATTACAAATTAAGGCAAGAAGGAGGTTGACTGCAAAAATGTATTAGAATGGGCGTCGGGACCACAGACTGGGCACTTGGCCATAGATCTGCAATATTTCGCTGGGGGGCCAAAACGCCAGCAATTTCTACATTGTTGCGGTGTAGGTATCACCTTCGAACTTGTAAAACCCATGTCCCGCAACAATACAGAGGACGAAGTTCTCGGCTGTCAAAAGTTAAACGAGCCACATTGCAAGGTAACGTTCTCCGCCCCCGGGCAAGAAGGACATAAGTGTCTACTGAGGATTTTGGGAGATCCTGGAGTTCCAGCTGTTCAAAAATGCATTGCCACATACTGGAAATTCTGTTGGACTATGGTATGGGGCAGAATGACAGAAACCCCTACAAGAATTGAGAGAAAGATGTTTTTCAGTAGTGATAGGAGTAGTATCGATATTCGAAAAGGGAAAAAGATCATGAGCTTGGTAGCATTCTGGACAGTGACGATGCGCGTACCGCTCTTAGAGCATGAAATGAAATATCCTACCAACATGACGCAGGGAATGCTTTGCCCAAAACTATGGTCAGAAAGGTAGGCAGAAAAAAGTCGGGCTTAAAGAAAGAATTTAGTCCATTGTGTGGTCCCCAAACCGAGTGTGGAGAGGGAGTGCTTGACGTGTCGGTCCTTTTTTCCGAGAGAATGGGAAGGTAATGAAAAGGGGCATCATCAGGAAATTTACGTTTGGGGTTTAGGAGTAGGAACCCCGGGGTTGGTCCCCGGGGTGAAATGGGCGGGCGATTCGAAAATTGCCATACCGTAGAGGGAGAAGCCGAAGCAAAAGTCAAAGGAGCGGAGGTTTTAGACAAAACGAAGGGGTCAGTCGAAGCCCCCGGACCTGAAGCGGGTGAGGAAACAGCACCAGCAAGAGGGACAGGGGCATCAGGAGTGTCCGAAGAGTGGTCTAAACACAAGGCAGGGTCAGAATGGGGTGCGGTATTATCAAGAAGGGGCCCTGGGGTAATGGGGTTTATGGATTGGGTTCTCCATGGTTAGGTTTACTCCTTTGCTTTTGTTTTTAAGAAAAAAAAAAAAAAAAAAGAAAAGAAAAAAAAAAAAAAAGAATAAAAAGAGGGGGGAGCGGGGAGGAATAGTTCCCAGGAGGAATGAAAGGCCGGAAATCTCCCTCCGCGCCCAAGAGGACCCAGCACCGCTAGTAGCGTAGATGCAGCAAGGAACCCTGCCATACCCTAACCCTTCATGCCAATAAACCAGCAATCCGGGATAGCAACCTCACATCTGCCGAGCTTACCTCGGTGGGCAAAGAGAGGGCGGCCGGATATCCGCCACAAAACATACCTCCTTCGGCCACCCCCCCCGGGAAACCGAAAGGTGGCTTCCAGAGATAACACCCGTCGCCCGAAAGACACCCAAAGCTACTCCGGGATACCGGGGAGGGATCGGGAACATCCCCAGGCGATCCAGATTCCACGGCAAACTACGCCACCGCCAAGAACCTCAACGGAATGGGATGGACCCAGGTGTCCTTTCCCCTACCTAGGAACTAGCGCGCCGTGGGAGAAATCCCAAAGGCCAAAAAGAGGAAGGGCAAAAGGGAGGGGTGGGGAGGAGGAGGAGGAATGGAAAAAGGGGAGGATGGGATAGGGGAGGGGAGAATGGGGGGTAATTAGGTTCGGTCTGAGGAAGAGGACCGACAGGGCTAATTCCTCAGACCAAGAGCCTCTTCACCATGCCAAGGAGCCCCCCTTGAAGAGGTCTCCATGGAGAAGTGGAAAAGAATCTTTCCTCCGTAAGCCATGTGTGTCGTAAGAGGCAACTAAAATGCCAGGAGCAATGGGCTAGTAACCTCTTCTCCTGTATAAATTACTTATAATAATAAGAATAATTGGGCCATAGTGTCTGGAAATAGGAGGCAGTCAGGTTTGATCCAAGGGACAGAAGGGTACATCCAACTTTTTGGACCAGGAGCCCGTCATTGATAGCAAAGTACCTTCCTTAAATGCCAACAGGTTTAAAGTTTTGTCTGTGAAATGATGTACGTCTCTGAATGTAAAAGAAAATGTATCACTTTGAATTTCTTCATTATAATTGATGTGCATCTCTGAACGTAAAAGATTTTAACTGAAGGCCATTCATCTCTGAATGTAAAAAGAAGTGCATTACTTTGAATTTATTCAATATCTTCTATGCCTCTTATTCCTTTGTGCTTGCCCATCTTCCTCCTGCTAAAGTGGGAAATAGGGAAATGATTCATGGTTAGTTTTTTCTCCCCCATTCCCTCACTTTAGGGTTATCTTTAAATGTTTCATTGGTTTTATTCTACCAATAATTTTATTCTAAATATTAAGTGTTATTTCACATTGGCTTGAGAATTTAACTAGTCGTGATATATTTTTAATAGGTGATAAATCTACTGGATTATTCCTGTTATATCATAGAAGTGCTAAATCAGCACTTTAAAATGTAGTCAGGGGTATGCCATAATGTCAAGAGGATACAATATTTTAGTCATCTTGATGAGAGTTATGTGACTATTTAATAGCCACATTATTATTATCACATTCAAAGGAGCATTAAACCCATACAAACCTTGAAGAGTTATATTAGTCATATACATTGTATCTTTGCAAATGTCAAAACAGATCTTCCTACATTTATATTATTATTGTTTTCATGTGGAACCATTAAACTGACAAAGATTATACAGCATCTGGGAAATAGGATGTAATCAGGCTTGATCCAAGGACCCTTTAACCAACATCAAGGCACCACCTGTAAAGGGCTTATTGTAGTGGATCTATTGCTCATATTCCAGAATATTTAGTACATAATTGTAAAATAAATACGTATTTCTGTATTTATCACGTGGAAATTTACAGGCAGATTTTGAGGTGGAACGTCGCATTTTTTGGCTGTGGGTGAAGATACCTTGTCTCGATGGTTTGGGATCCTGCCATTATAATGATGTGTGTGAGGTAATACCATTTCCTCCATCTGAACCATGCCCTGATCCATTCCCAAGATTCAAACTTCCATGTCGTTGTCCTGCTTTAAAGGTTAGTGCCTTTCATCAGAATATTGTTGATTATTTTGAGTAAAATGCTCACAAAGCCTCTACAACCCCTCATTTGCAGTCTGATTTGTGCTTTTCACAACTACCACACCCTCTTCTATGCTCTAAATTCTCAGCATAATATTCACATTACACATTGCTCTCATATGTGACATCACTGCCTCTAGCTACTTTGCTGCAGTGTTTAAAACCCATGCCTCACACCCTTATAAGTGTTATTACTACTGTGGTACATTCCTCTTTTTACCTCCACATATTTTTCTTTCCACAGACATCTCATTACACCTTTTTACTCCATCATGTTCTATTGGTCCCCTCTTCTCTCATTGACTCGTCTGTGGACATGTCCATTCTGAAATATCTAAATATGTTCACTTCCTGCAATCCAGTATCCATGCTTTCACCAGCTATTTTTTTTTTTTTTGGCTACACTCGTAATTCTTGCTGTTTCCCATCTTCATTTTTAATTTTTCTTTTAATTTCAAATTCCTCTACCACTTTTTGTAACTTCTCTTCAGAATCTCTCTAAATAACTGTCATCAACAAAGTAAATGAATTCCACAGTCTTCCCAACACCCCTAGCATTTGCTTCTTTTACAGTATCATTATAATTGAGTAGAAGTGCTAAACCTGTAAGGATCATAGTGTATATTTTGAATGAGAGGAAATCAGGTTTGATCCAAGGAAGTGGAGGATAGCTCCATAGCCTTGAACCAAGAGCCCTCACCATCATTAAATATGTTAAACAACCTTGGTGGCATCACACATCCCTAAGGCCTACTTTTACTGGAAAATAATCCCCTTCTCTCCTACATACCTCTCACACTTATTGTTTTTAGTAACTTATTACCTATTCCATGAAATTGCAACATTGCTTCCCTATCTACTATATCAAATGCCTTTTCTAAATCCATAATTGTTACAATTATTATTATAATCAAAACTAAATGCTAAACTACCTGGGTCATACACCGCTAATTGTTACAGACCAGTTCCTAATCTATTGCTCACTTATATACCTCGGTGTAAGCACTTGGTTTATTCATATCCTGCTCTTAGTAAATCCTTCATGTTCCTCTGGAATCCTACTTTCAGGCTTAACCCCGAACTCTTACATTAATAATACTACTATACTCTTGACCCAGTACACTTACAGGTTTATTATTCTCTCATCTCCTTTTTCTTCATACAAAGGAATATTGCATGCTCTCTGCCTGTCTCTCTCAGAAGTATAAATGTTTATGATATTTTTGGTAGAATCTTATGTTGCTGAATTAGGGGTCATACAGTGCATGGGAATGGGAGACAATCAGATTTGCTCCAAGGAAGGGAAGAACAGGTCACTTTCATAATTCACACAAAAAGATTGCATTGTTCATTCTGATGAGTTTTGCTTTTCATTCATATGGTTTAATGCTTTTTTGTGAATATTATTATAATAATAATACTGTTAATACAGATAATGTCTTATTTCCTTTCAGGGCCATTACATTGTGAAGAATAGTACATTCAGTGTTCCAGGTATTGTGAGTTATTTACCTTCTTGGCTGATCTCTGGTGACTACTATGTTCATGGAGTAGCATACAAAAATAGCACCAGGCTTGGCTGCTATTCTGTTTATGCCTCAGTTTCCTATTAGAGTTCACATATAAGCTTTCAAGTTTTCATATGGTTAAACCTCTTCATAACATTTTAATTTAGGTTTTTCATATCTTAATATGTAATCTAAAAATGAAAAAATATGATTTGCATTTAAATATTATAACTGTACTCATCATTAGGAAGATAGAAAGATAATTAAGATTATCATAAGAAAATTACTGATTGTGTTGATAACTCATTCCAGTTGCATGGCACACACAAATGACATGACATGTGTATAGGAATTACCTATACACATAAGGGTATAAAAGTGCAGCATATTATCCGAGCATGTATGTGCTAGAGTATCTTAACAAAAAGACCCTTTAAGGCAGTTGCTTAATTTTTAATGCTGTGTATTATTATTTTTTTTTTTTATTATCACACTTGCCGATTCCCACCAAGGCAGGGTGGCCCAAAAAAGAAAAACTTTCACCATCATTCACTCCATCACTGTCTTGCCAGAAGGGTGCTTTACACTACAGTTTTTAAACTGCAACATTAACACCCCTCCTTCAGAGTGCAAGCATTGTACTTCCCATCTCCAGGACTCAAGTCCGGCCTGCTGGCTTCCCTGAACCCCTTCATAAATGTTACTTTGCTCACACTCCAACAGCATGTCAAGTATTAAAAACCATTTGTCTCCATTCACTCCTATCAAACACACTCATGCATGCCTGCTGGAAGTCCAAGCCCCTCGCACACAAAACTTCCTTTACCCCCTCCCTCCAACCTTTCCTAGGCCGACCCCTACCCCGCCTTCCTTCCACTACAGACTGATACACTCTTGAAGTCACTCTGTTTCGCTCCATTCTCTCTACATGTCCGAACCACCTCAACAACTCTTCCTCAGCCCTCTGGACAACAGTTTTGGTAATCCTGCACCTCCTCCTAACTTCCAAACTACGAATTCTCTGCATTATATTCACACCACACATTGCCCTCAGACATGACATCTCCACTGCCTCCAGCCTTCTCCTCGCTACAACATTCATCACCCATGCTTCACACCCATATAAGAGCTTTGGTAAAACTATACTCTCATACATTCCCCTCTTTGCCTCCAAGGACAAAGTTCTTTGTCTCCACAGACTCCTAAGTGCACCACTCACACCCTTTTCCCCTCATCAATTCTATGATTCACCTCATCTTTCATAGACCCATCCGCTGACACGTCCACTCCCAAATATCTAAATACGTTCACCTCCTCCATACTCTCTCCCTCCAATCTGATATCCAATCTTTCATCACCTAATCTTTTTGTTATCCTCATAACCTTACTCTTTCCTGTATTCACTTTTAATTTTCTACTTTTGCACACCCTACCAAATTCATCCACCAATCTCTGCAACTTCTCTTCAGAATCTCCCAAGAGCACAGTGTCATCAGCAAAGAGCAACTGTCACAACTCCCACTTTATGTGTGATTCTTTATCTTTTAACTCCACGTCTCTTGCCAAGACCCTCGCATTTATTAAATATGTATTATTATACATATTTAAAAACGTACACCAAACCTGTACTGCATGGTTAGTGCTTTGTAGTAGGTGGCAGACTGCAGCCAATGTTGTGACATGCTGTATGGTGCATCTTTACGAACTATGCCCCCCATGAAGTTTGCCACACAAATGGCTACTCTTAATTACCTGCTACACAACATTGGAAAGATGGGTAAGCCTGAAGCACATGTTCAGATAATGCATTTCACTTTTATAGCCTATAATGTTTATTTAAAAAGTATGTTTAGCCATAGCTTTTTCTTCACATATACGTAATTTCTGATCTCGCCTTGTACGCATATGCAATTCTAATTTTTTACTGTATTTTTCCAAATAATTCTTATCCTTATCTATCATTGTCTCCCTAAATGCTAAGCCACCTTATATATGTTAAGACTGACATCTCATCATATGACGATTGCCTACACTTTGCAAGAAAAACTATTTGTGACTTGGTATAATACTGACATTTAAATTTTTTTTTTTTTATCACACTGGCCGATTCCCACCAAGGCAGGGTGGCCTGAAAAAGAAAAACTTTCACCATCATTCACTCCATCCCTGTCTTGCCAGAAGGGTGCTTTACACTACAGTTTTTAAACTGCAACATTAACACCCCTCCTTCAGAGTGCAGGCACTGTACTTCCCATCTCCAGGACTCAAGTCCAGCCTGCCGGTTTCCCTGAACCCCTTCATAAATGTTACTTTGCTCACACTCCAACAGCACGTCAAGTATTAAAAATCATTTGTCTCCATTCACTCCTATCAAACACACTCACGCATGCCTGCTGGAAGTCCAAGCCCCTCACACACAAAACCTCCTTTACCTCCTCCCTCCAACCTTTCCTAGGCTGACCCCTACCCCGCCTTCCTTCCACTACAGACTGATACACTCTTGAAGTCACTGTTTCGCTCCATTCTCTCTACATGTCCGAACCATCTCAACAACCCTTCCTCAGCCCTCTGGACAACAGTTTTGGTAATCCCACACCTCCTCCTAACTTCCAAACTACGAATTCTCTGCATTATATTCACACCACACATTGCCCTCAGACATGACATTTAAAAAAAAAAAACTATAATTCCAATTTATTTTTTATCTCGATATCCATGCTCACCACATTTTATAAACAAAGACTAGGTCACAACTCAGGAGTATCTCTAGATATCATCTGTTCAGGAACCTCAAGTGTTGCAGATGCCAATACCAGTGTAAAAAAAAATGCCTCCATGTCTGTTAATAGAAGGCAGGGAATGGCAAAGCCATGTCAGGGAGGAGTAACTGTTCGACTGCAGTTACAGGAGTTAGGTAAAATTTCTTATTGTGGTCAGAAAAGAAACTTGCTGTAATTTCGAAAGTGTAGTGCTCTATGTACATTGTTGTGCTTTGCATCAATACTTCACTGGAAATTTTCTGTACTGTGTACATTTATGGAATCTGTTACACATTATATGTTTGTGACAGTAATTCATGCCTTCTCATGTAAATAATGAGCATGGGTATGCATAAGTATGATTACTATAAATAATACTTCAGAAACAATTAGTCTAATGAAGATCCTGTGAATATTAATTCATAAATTGTTACTTTTAGGTATAAGGTAGCTTTAGCAAGATGTTAGTCGTTATAATGGCCTGAGAACATGCCAGTCTTCCAGTAACCTTATGATAACTCCTGCATCAGAAAGATTTTAATAAAGATTAAGAGGTCACAATACCATGGTTCGAACAAGACAAATAACTTGCATGTAGGAGACAAACTATGATGATGTTTTATTCTGTCTTGGACCACTGATAAGTCACATGGGCTTGTAAATGGTCCATGTTGGACTGAAACATTATTGTAGTTTCAGTTTCCTATGTGCAAGTTATTTGTGTAAAGATTTTGATGTACAATAGTGAAAGTGTCAAGTGAAACTGGTTAAAATTATTTCTTTATACAGTGTATATGCACTGCATGACCCCTGTGGGTTTAGCGCTTAGTTATGAATATAAATAATATACCGGTGATATAAAAAAAATAATGAGAAGTCTGTAAAAAAATTCAAATTCTGAGATACAATTGTACAAAATGAAACAGCCATTTGTGCCTTACAAATTAACCTCATTATTTTATGTGATAAATGGGTTTGAAAGCTGACAAGTTGAAGAAGGTGACAATGTAGCATATGGGAATCTTTATTGAGGAAACATTTTGCCACACAGTGGCTTCATCAGTTTGGCCACTGTGTGGCAAAACATTTCCTCAATAATGATTCCCATGTGCTGTGTAAGTGTATTTTATGAACTTGCTGTGTAAATTGTTTACAATGTGCCAATATATCAGTCAATAAGCAAAAATTTTTTAACCTTCATGGAGAGCACTAAAACTGAAAGGTCAAACTGAGCATAAAGAAAATCTATTTTATTAACCCTTTTAGGTTTAGTGCTTGACTTCATTATGACAATAACGATTATTAATGTTGTATAGTATTAAATACAGTAATGTGATTTCAGAGACCTGAATATGGGTAAAATCTCTCATTACTGGTTTCTTTCAATGACATTCCAAAAACTTATCCATGGTATATTTTAAATACCATATTTGTTTAAATCACAGTAGTGTGTCCTAGTATCCTTAAATAATTGTAGGTTGTTTTATTACTGAAAAGTATTACCTCAGGTAGATGCTATACTTTATATTTAAAAGTGATTAAAATTCCTAGACATGAACTACTGCTATACGTTACCAAATAAAATTTTAACACGTTTTTCATAGTTTCCTTCACATTGTTATTACAGTATTATTATTGTAGTTCACAAGGTCATCTAAACTGACATCATCACAATTTTGGCAAAACAGAAGCTGAATGATTTGTGCAACTAACAAGCCTTACCAGTGACTGGCAGTTTCAATGGTGAATTTATCTTTGGAGATTTACTGAGAGGATTAATACCAAAGGGGCAAAGTGTTGCATTGAGACATTGACTGCACTTTGGACCCACTGGTAAACATATTTGTTGCCCAAACCCGACCATAAGCAGATTGGTATCACTCCATATTTCTTCTGGCATCCAGGATTCCAAAGCAATTCGAGTTTCTTCTGGTGTTTTTGTATCGCGTCCAGTCCATCCCAGTCGATTGCTGATGCGATGCACGTGTGTGTCAACACCTGAATTATAGCAAAATCATAATAAAGTACTATACACAAATAACTGATAGAAGAAGAGAGGAGCTTACAAATTCACAGAGCAACTTTGTAAATGGTCCAAGTCAGACCAAAATGTCATCATAAGCTCCTCTCTCGTGTGGGCCTATTTCTCCATAAAGTATTACAAAGTATAAGGAAATGTAGAAGTTCCATAAAAAAGAAAGTGATGGAAAAATTAAATTCTAAAATTAAAAATAGTCAATATGCAAAATACTATAAGCAATGCTAATCTGCAAGCTGCTGTTGCCTTGGGTCTTACCAATGCCTGTTAGTTTTCCCCAGCCAATATCCATACAGAGGTGAGCCATTTTTGGTCCAACTCCTGGAAGCTTACACATGTCTTTAAGTGTAGGAGGAATATCCCCACCATAATACTTCCTCAGTATTTCACACGTTTTCTTTATATACACAACTTTCTTCTAGAAGACATACAAATGAATGTATAAGATTAAAGAATTATTTTGTTACTGAATTATTTCTTTTACTACATTCTTAGTATACATTTTATTGGAATGTATATAAAATAAAATATTATTTGTACATTACTTCCTTTGCTACTTTAACAAGTGGTAATAATACATATCAAGCATGCAGCATTCAGAGCATGTTCAATAGAATGAATGGAGATGAATGGTATTTGGGACCTGACGATCTGTTGAAGTGTGAGCAGGGTAATATTTAGTGAAGGGATTCAGGGAAACCGGTTATTTTTATATAGCCAGACTTGAGTCCTGGAAATGGGAAGTACAATGCCTGCACTTTAAAGGAGGGGTTTTCGGGATATTAGCAGTTTGGAGGGATATGTTGTGTATCTTTATACGTATATGCTTCTAAACCGTTGTGTTCTGAGCACCTCTGCAAAAACAGTGATTATGCGTGAGTGAGGTGAAAGTGTTGAATGATGATGAAAGTATTTTCTTTTTGGGTCACCCTGCCTGCCCTAATTGAATTACAGTACCAGTAAATAAAAAGAGGGTGATGTGTCTGACAAATGACAAGTCAGAATCCAGGAAGACATCAAGATTCCTCACTGATTCCACACACTGCAAACTCAATGTACCATAATGAAAGGCATTAAAATCTCTGATCTGTACTTCACAGAGGTTTTCCCTGACAATCAAAACCTGTCTTATGTTCATTCAGTTTCAATTTACTATTTATCAAAATCCAAACATCCAGCGGAAGAGAACATACGATGTCAGAAATTTTTTTTATTATTATTAATACATCGGCCGATTCCCACCAAGGCAGGGTGGCCCAAAAAAGAAAAACTTTCATCATCATTCACTCCATCACTGCCTTGCCAGAGCGGTGCTTTCCACTACAATTTATAAAACCGCAACATTAACACCCTTCCTTCAGAGTGTAGACACTGTACTTCCCATCTCCAGGATTCAAGTCTGGCCTGCCGGTTTCCCTGAATCCCTCCATAAATGTTACTTTGCTCACACTCCTACAGCACGTCAAGTATTAAAAACCATTTGTCTACATTCACTCCTATATGCCCGAATCACGTCAACAACCCTTCCTCAGCCCTCTGGACAACAGTTTTGGCAATCCTGCAGAAATGACAGTGCAATATTTCCAAGGCCATACCAAAAAAATAGCTTAACAGAAATGATCAATGGTATCAAGTGCAGAAAAGAGGTCCAACAAAATTAGCAGCAGTCCATTTCTTAAGCAAGTGTTTAGTACCAAATCATAATGAACTTTACACAAACCCATCCCAGTTGAATGAAATGGTCTATATGCAGACTAAATACACAGTAAAACATTACTCCATTCTGAAAAATGAAACAACTGATTAAAAATAGCATCTTCAATCAGTTCAGAAAGAGCACCAGATTAAACACAAATTAATATTCTTGCATGTTTTCTGAATCAAGGAAGGCTTCTTGAGGAGTGGATGAATCAAAGCCCCCACTTCGCTAACTGTTGTAAACATCCACTCTGAAAACAATGATGATCAACATAGTTATAAAAAGAACAGTAACTTCAATGCCAGGGATGAAAAGCTGGTTACTCTTTTCCCTATAATTAATAAAAAATACTAATTGAAATCATTTATTTTCTTAGCATCACTTTCCAGTCTTCATTGATGGGAAACTGCTGAGAAGGTAACAAGAAAAAAAACATACTGCATACATTATATACAGTATTTTATGTATAATACTTTTAGCTAACCTTCCAGAACCCAACAGGATGTATAAGCTGACCAAGAGTGTCAGGATCTGTTGCCAGGATGTTATCAACAGTAAGTCCATGTGCTCGTAGCTTGGCCATGGCTGCATGGGTCACCTGGTCTTTTGTTTGGCTACTCAACATTAGAGAAACAAGTACCTGGAACCTGTATATCTGAAAAAAGTATGGAAAAATGCATTCAACTTAATCCACTAGTAAACCTGTCATATGAAGTTATTGTATGAGTGCATTTTTTAATCCATCAGTAAGTGACTAGTTTACTGTGAATCCCATAGTCATCTTGTTGACAGCAGCATAAGGGTTAACAGGAGAACATTTGGACATATGGATTCATATCTACAAATTGATATATTTGTTGCCAGCAAATTTTGGATTTCTGATTTATTGTCCAGCATCTTTATTTCATTAATAAGATACCTTGACAGATCACATAGGTTATTATGCTATCTATCCCTACAATCCTCAGTAAGTAAACCATTAAGCATATAGTGTTCTAAAAAAAAGTGATTATTGCATTTAGTTAGATCTACATCTGTGTATCTACCAAAATGCTAAATGTATTTATAATCAAGCCTAAACCTGGTTACTACAACATCAGTCATACTTATCTACTCAGCCTTCTAACTGTATTCCTATGACATTGAATTTCATTATTTACTTCTCTCCTAATATTATTCCTAATGCTAGACACAAGACATGCCTAAGTTTTTTTTTTTTTTTTTTTCAACAAACCGGCCATATCCCACCAAGGCAGGGTGGCCCAAAAAGAAAACGAAAGTTTTTCTTTTTAAATTTAGTAATTTGTACAGGAGAAGGGGCTACTAGCCCCTGCTCCCGGCATTTTAAATCGCCTCTTACAACACGCATGGCTGACGGAGGAAGAATTCTGTTCCACTTCCCCATGGAGATAAGAGGAAATAAACAAGAACAAGAACTAGAAAGAAAATAGAAGAAAACCCAGAGGGGTGTGTACATATATATATATGCCTGTATACATGTATGTGTAGTGTGACCTAAGTGATAAGAATAAGTAGCAAGACATACTGAAATCTTGCATTTTATGAGACAGACAAAAGACAGCAGCAATCCTACCATCATGTAAAACAATTACAGGCTTTTGTTTTACACTCACTTGGCAGGACGTAGTTACCTCCCTGGGTGGTTGCTGTCTACCAACCTACTACCATAACATGCCTAAGTAATCTAGTTTTTTCAGGGTACTTTCTTGGCTAACTTGGAAAATGTAAATCTCAACAACCATAGTCCTCTAGGATGCAGTAACAAAAATTTATTACTACACTACTGGGCATTACTTCAGGTTGGGCATCCACATCCGTGCACTTTTGAGCTCCCATGGAGTCAACAGGAGCATCTCGTGCAGCTCTCATCTGCCGAATGTTCTTCAGAACCTCCTGCCAGTGTGGTGGCTCCCATCTTGACTGTAATGCCTTTTCTTCATCTTCCTTAAATTAAAATTAAAATGCTTGAAAGCTGAAAACTACATTAAAAAATATGACATGATACAATGTCAATCCCAAAGCATTTTTCATTGACAATCTGGGCATTTTTCTTATTAGCAGATTATTATTATAATCAAGTCTTATTAGTAGAACATAATAAGAACAAGAAAAAGTGAAAAAGTTGTTAATACAAATTTAATGGGGTTCTACGTCTAATACAATACTTTAGTTGTGAAATAAATAACAGACAAAATTTGAAAGAGCAGTATTTATCACTAGCTTGAAATTATCCAATATGTTTTATTACCATTTTGAGTTTTTTCGTGCCTGCACAATGGTTGTATTCATCATTAGAGTTTCTATTTATTGCTTGAGGATGAGTGTCAGAATGAATTCCATTTTGGTTTGAAGAGAGTCGATCTATTTTGGGCTCCTCTTCATACTTGATTTGGACACATCTTCTAGCCAATTTTTTTGCTGGAGCTATATACGAGGATGATTGGAGATGCTGAAAATTAAAATATTATGGTGGATAAATGGTAGGTAAGAATAAAAAAGACGATTTCTGCCGTTGGGGGATTCTTTAAAGGAAACTACAGTACAAAAAAATTATTTTTATATACCGTAAAATTCAAAGAGAAAAGGGAGACAGCAAACCCCCCAGGAATTTCTACCGTTCCCCCGCCAGATGACTGTGAAACAAAAAAACCCGTAAAATGTTTTGCATAGGTAAGGGTTGCTTTGGGTTTTTTTTCTTCTCATAAACCCCGCTAGAAAAACAGGGAAAAACTTTCTACTCCTACTTACACATTGGGCACACTTCCAGACACACACATCCTATTAATTATAAACAAACATCTAGGGTTTTTCCCCCTTTTTCTAAATAGCTCTTGTTTCTTTTTTAATTTTTCTATTGTTTCCCTGGGGGAAGTGGAAAAAAATCTTTTCCCCCGTAAGCCATGGCCCCCTGTCGTAAAAGGCGACAAAATGCCGGGGGCAATGGGGTAGTAACCCCTTTTTTTTCCTTTAAAACTTTTTAAAAAAAAAGAAAAGAAAAACTTTTTAAAAATGGGAATTCTTAAATTTTGCGTGGGTGTAGTGCGGATGACAAAAAACAAATGATTGCTGATGTTAAAAATGAAAAGAAGTTTGGGTGCCCCGGCTCCCAAGCGAAACAAAGCTGAAGGGGGAGAAGTTTTAGTGGGGGGAAATAAAAGGGTTAAATCCCGGAGTTTTTCTTAGAGAGTTAGAGCAAAAGGGAAGGGGGAGCATAATTTTTAAATGATCCTTATGGGAAGGGGAAAAGAGAAAAATGAATGTTAAAATTCCCGAAATTTTGTGGATTAAAGTAAAGGTTTTTTATGCGAAATGGGTTTATAATAAGGGTATTCAACCTGGAAAAAGAGAGGAAGGGAGGGGGAAAGAGGAGATTTGGGAATTTTAATTGAATGTTTAAAGGGGGCCCCTTTTAAACCAAGGGGGTTTTGTAAAGGGGGGGAGGGGGCCCCGAATGCTAAAATAGGGGAAACTTTTTTTTAAAAAGGTTTTTGGGAAAGGGGGAAATTTTGGGGGGCCAGGTGTAAAAGAAAAAGGGAAACCCTTTGAATTTAAAAATTTTTATAGAAAGGGGTTTTTTGTTTTTAGGGAATCCCTATTTTAAGAAAAAGAGGATAAAAAAGTATACCGAAATGATGTAGGGGGAAATGACCGTGTTTGGGTTTGGGTTAAAAGTTTTTGGTAGATAAAAGACTGTTAAATAGACTTTTAATGTACATGTTTTTTAGAGGGGCCACCAAAATATCAATCACTTTTTTAGTTTAGCAAAAACTTTAGAAAAAAGGTAGATGGGATACAAAGGGGAATAGAAGCCCTTTAGGGGAAAAGAGAGGTGAAGGTTTTTATAAAGGGTTTTTTAAACAAAAAGGGGGAGGCAGTTGGGGTAAGATATAAACAGCAAATTGGGGGTTTAGAGGGGCTAATGAGAGCATAGGCAATGGGTCGAAGGGGGTAGGGGTAGGTTTAAAAATTAGTGTTAGAGTTTTCAGAAAAAGAAGTTTGTGGTTTCCCCAAAGTGGGTGCAGGGGAAGTTCGTGAGGCAGTAGGTAAAATAAAAGGGGTAAGGCAGCCGGGATTGATGGGATAAAGATGAAATTTAAAAGCAGGGGGGGATATTTTTTGGAGTGGTTGGTGCAATTATTTAAAAAATGTAGGAAAAGGGGGTAAGGTCCCTATGATTGCAGAGAGCATGCTATTTCCTTTTATAAAGGCAAAGGGGATAAAAGAAGTGCAAAAATTTGGGGGGAAAATCTTTTGAGGTACCTGGAAAAGGTATGGTAAGTTAAAATGAAGAATTTAAATAAGTGGAGAAAGGATGCAGATAAACAAGGGGGTTTTTTGGGAAAGGGGAAAGGGGGTGTGGGGACCGGGGTGTTTACGTGAAACATATAAGTGAACAGTATTTAGATAAGGCTAAGGGTTTTGTGGTTTTGGTTTTGGGAAAAAGGCTATGACGGGGAAGGGGGGCAATGGGGCAGATTTTTAAAGTGTTGTGAGGGGGTGGTTACGAAAGGTGAAGATTTTTCGGGATAGGAGGCTCAGTTAGAGTAGAAAGGGGGAAAAAGGTGGTGCACTTAGGAGTCTGGGGAAAAAAGAACTTGCTTTGGGGGCAAAGAGGGGAATGTATGAGAGTATGTTTACCAACGCTCTTATAGGGTGTGAAGGTGGGTGATGAATTTTTCAGTAGGAAAGGTTGGAGGCATGGGATGTCATGTCTGGGGCAATGTTGGTGTGAATATAATCAGAGAATTCGTAGTTTGGAAGTTAGGAGGGGTCCCGGGATTACCAAACGTTGTCCAGGGGGTGGGGAAGGGTTGTTGAGGGGGTTCGGACATTAGAGAAAAATGGACAAAACAGAATGATTTCAAGGTGTTCAGTCGTAGGGGAAAGGGAAAGGGGGGGTTTGGGGGTCGGCCTGGGAAGGGTTTTGGAGGGAGGGGGAAAAAGGATTTTTTTTTTTGTGCGAGGGGCTTGGACTTCCAGCGGGCCGGAGCGTGTTTGATAGGATGAATGGAACAAAGGGTTTTTAATACTTAAACGTGCTTTTGGGATGTGAGCAAAGAACATTTATAAAGGGGAATTCAGGGAAACCGGCTGCCGGACTTAAGTCCGGGTTTAGCCCCCCAAGGAAACCCAAGAAATTCAGTGCCCCAATCGAGACCTGTCCTAACTTTTTTCCCTTTTGGGGGTTTCCTTAACCCGGGTCCCCCAGATGCGACCCCACCAGTCGACAAAACACCCAGGTACCAAATTCCCTGCGGGTGAACAGGACAACAGGTGAAAGGGAAACGTTTTCCGAAATGTTTCCACCCCCCGGGGAAGGGAACCCCGGGCCCTCCGTGTGTGAAGGGGGAGTTTTAATACCATATAAAGACACTCTCACGGGAACCAAAGAAAATTTTTTTGGGGAAGTTAAAAAAATTGTATTGCCAACGCATAAACTAATATCTTAAAACTTTTTGTTTTTGGGTATTTTCATTTTGAATTTACAATTCGAATTTCCAGTGAGGCCAACGGGTTTTGAACTTAGTGAAGAAGCCCTTTAAAAAAACCCCGCCACCCTTCTTGTTATTCATCTTTTTAAAGGGGACATACAATTTAAACCCTTATTGAACCTTATTTCCCCCGGAAAAGCAAAAATATTATCCCAAAAAACCTGCACGGGAAATTTAAATATAAGAAAAAAAGGGAAACCCTACACTTCGTTAACTATGTATGACAATTGTACTTATGTGAAACCTTTTACTTAAAATTTAAACTTACTAGCCTAGAAAGCTAAAGCTCACGTTTTTTCTCATTTTTGGGGTTTTTTATGGGTCGAAGCAACCTCAAAAAAACCCTTTTGTTTAATAATAATTCTCACATTTTCAAAAGTAAATGATACAGTTTTTTACAGACCATGGCTGACATCATACATACTGTAAAAGGAAAAACCCCAAATTTTACAAGCATTTCGGGGAAATTAAAAGGGTTTAATTTTTTTCCCCCAAAATGAAAACCTAACCCCCAGTACTAACCTGGAGTTTTCCCGGAGAAGTTTTTCCGGGGACAACGCCCCCGCGGCCCCTTCCCGTGACCAGGCCCCCCTGGTGGATCAGAGCCTGATCAACCAGGGTGTTGCTGGGTGGCTGCACGCAAACCCAAATACGAGCCAAAAGCCCGGGTGATCCGGAAAAACCGACTTTTAGGTGGTTGTCCCCGTGCCCCGCCCTTTAAGATGCCAGGGGGCCCCGGGGGTTTGGGAATCCCCCTTATGTGTGCTGGGAGCAGTTGAACATTCCCCGGGCCCCTGACACTTATTGTATGGTCTCTTAACGTGCTAGTGACACCCCTGCTTTTCATTGGGGGATGGTGCATCGTCTGCCAAGTCTTTTGCTTTCGTAGTGACTGATTCTCGTGTGCAAGTTCGGTACTAGTCCCTCTAGGATTTTCCAGGTGTATATAATCATGTATCGCTCCCTCCTGCGTTCCAGGGAATACAGGTTTAGGAACCTCAAGCGCTCCCAATAATTGAGGTGTTTTATCTCCGTTATGCGCGCCGTGAAAGTTCTCTGTACATTTTCTAGGTCGGCAATTTCACCTGCCTTGAAAGGTGCTGTTAGTGTGCAGCAATATTCCAGCCTAGATAGAACAAGTGACCTGAAGAGTGTCATCATGGGCTTGGCCTCCCTAGTTTTGAAGGTTCTCATTATCCATCCTGTCATTTTTCTAGCAGATGCGATTGATACAATGTTATGGTCCTTGAAGGTGAGATCCTCCGACATGATCACTCCCAGGTCTTTGACGTTGGTGTTTCGCTCTATTTTGTGGCCAGAATTTGTTTTGTACTCTGATGAAGATTTAATTTCCTCATGTTTACCATATCTGAGTAATTGAAATTTCTCATCGTTGAACTTCATATTGTTTTCTGCAGCCCACTGAAAGATTTGGTTGATGTCCGCCTGGAGCTTTGCAGTGTCTGCAATGGAAGACACTGTCATGCAGATTCGGGTGTCATCTGCAAAGGAAGACACGGTGCTGTGGCTGACATCCTTGTCTATGTCGGATATGAGGATGAGGAACAAGATGGGAGCGAGTACTGTGCCTTGTGGAACAGAGCTTTTCACCGTAGCTGCCTCGGACTTTACTCTGTTGACGACTACTCTCTGTGTTCTGTTAGTGAGGAAATTATAGATCCATCGACCGACTTTTCCTGTTATTCCTTAGCACGCATTTTGTGCGCTATTACGCCATGGTCACACTTGTCGAAGGCTTTTGCAAAGTCTGTATATATTACATCTGCATTCTTTTTGTCTTCTAGTGCATTTAGGACCTTGTCGTAGTGATCCAATAGTTGAGACAGACAAGAGCGACCTGTTCTAAACCCATGTTGCCCTGGGTTGTGTAACTGATGGGTTTCTAGATGGGTGGTGATCTTGCTTCTTAGGACCCTTTCAAAGATTTTTATGATAT